AGTTATAAGCCCGCTAATGGTTAGAGGCACACTGAACCTAAACGTTAAGTTGGAGAGGTCTCGTCTAATGAAGTCAACGCTCCGTCCCCCTCGTGCTCTAATCCAGAATCCCGAAAACTTTCAGCTCGAGTTACACAACCGCTTTCAGTGCCTACAAGATTGCAATGCAGTGGACGATATGAATGACAAGCTCGTGGAAACTGTCCATGCGGTCGGAGCTAAGTTCTGCAAGACCCACCGCAGAAGAACACAAAAACTCTCCGATCACACTCTTAATCTCATGGCTGTTAGACGGGAGATGAGGCTGCAATCGTTAACAGATTTGACAGCATACAGGCAACTGAACAGACAGATCTCCAAATGCATGCGGCGAGACTTACGCAACTTTAATACTGCTCGTATTAAAGAAGCGATCGAGCGGAACCAGGGCTCCAAAGTCTTTGCCAGAGATCTGTCTGCCAGAAAGAGCCAACTGTCAAAGCTGAAGACTGAATGTAGCAGCATCGTTTCCGGGACACCTGAGACGTTGAATGAGATTGAGAGGTTCTATGGGCAGCTGTACACATCATCGTTGGAGCCACACGCAAGTGTGAGTAACGATCCAAGAGCAAGTCTTATCCGACACTATTCCGATGATATCCCGGACGTCAGTCTAAGCGAGATTAGAATGGCTCTCCAGCACCTTAAAAACGGCAGGGCCCCAGGCGAGGATGGAATTACAGCGGAGCTTCTGAAAGCGGGTGGAACACCGGTACTGGAAGTCCTTCAGAAGCTCTTCAATTCCGTCCTCCATGGTGGCACTACTCCAGAGGCGTGGAGCAGAAGTGCGGTGGTCTTGTTCTTTAAAAAAGGCGACAACGCTCTCTTGAAGAACTACAGACCGATTTCCCTTCTGAGCCGCGTCTACGTGCTGTTTTCGAGAGTCATTACGAATCGTCTCGCACGCAGACTCGACGACTTCCAGCCTCCCGAACAAGCCGGTTTCCGAAAAGGCTTCAGTACCATAGACCACATACATACCCTGCGGCAGATTGTACAGAAGACTGAAGAGTACAATTTGCCACTTTGCCTGGCGTATGTGGACTATGAGAAAGCCTTTGATTCCGTCGAAATTTGGGCGGTGCTGCAGTCCCTTCAGCGGTGCCAAGTTGACTGTCGGTATATCGAAGTGCTGAAGTGTTTGTACAGTAGGGCTACGATGGCTATCCGAGTACAGAACCAGAGCTCGAAACCTATCCAACTGCAGAGACGTGTAAGACAGGGTGACGTTATATCCCCGAAACTCTTCACCGCTGCTTTGGAAGACGTTTTCAAGCTACTGGACTGGAAAGGATACGGTATTAACATCAATGGCGAGTACATCACTCACCTTCGATTTGCCGACGATATAGCCCTTATGGCAGAATCGCTGGAGGACTTAGCACTATGCTCAATGACCTCAATAGTGCCTCCCAACGGATAGGTCTTAAGATGAACATGGACAAAACAAAGATCATGTTTAATATCCATGTCACACCTATGCCGGTAGTTGTTGGGAGCACTATGCTCGAAGTTGTTGACGAGTATGTTTACCTGGGACAAATAGTCCGACTAGGTAAGTCCAACTTCGACCGAGAGGTCAATCGACGGATTCAACTCGGCTGGGCAGCGTTCGGGAAATTACGACATATCTTCTCGTCAGGTATACCTCAATCTCTAAAAACTAAATTGTACAACCAGTGCGTGTTGCCAGTGATGACTTACGGATCTGAGACGTGGTCCTTCACTGCTGGCCGTATGAGGACGCTCAAGGTCGCTCAGCGAGCTATGGAGAGGGCTATGCTCGGAGTTTCTCTGCGTGATAAACTCAGAAATGAGGATATCCGCAGTAAAACCAGAGTGACCGACATAGCCCAACGGATTAGTAAGCTGAAGTGGCAATGGGCCGGCCATATAGCTCGAAGAACCGATATCCGATGGGGAAGAAAGGTTCTCGAGTGGCAGCCTCGTACCGGTAGGCGTAGTGTAGGGCGACCCCCCACTAGATGGAGTGACGACCTGGTAAGATATGCAGGAAGTCGATGGATGCAGGTGGCTCAGGACCGTGCTTTGTGGCATTACTTGGGGGAGGCCTATGTTCAGCAGTGGACTTGTGAAGGGCTGTAATGAATGAAAAAAAAAATAAGCCCGCTTGACATAATTGTATTTATTAGTTAATCCACTCCAATTTTATTTTCTTCTAGCGGGATTCCTTCATAGGCTTTGTTGGCAAGCGATAGTTCGTTTAGGCAAGAGCGAGTGCATTGTCAGGAAAACCGCATGCTATAGTCGCCATTTTGTGGAGACGGAAGAAGCCATCCGCTTATACAGTCCATTTGGTGTAACATTTCGCGTAATAGGCTTAAGGTTCGACCGTGGAATTGGAATTCGGTAACCTTAGGCCCGTCGCTCAACCAATAATAAATATTATTAATATTTACAGTAGATACTGTAAAACTATAGTTCATTCCGTTAGTTGATAAAAAAAAACTTTTCAGGTGGATCGTTTAGAACGAGTATGCAGTCCTTGCTGGCTGAGGGCTTCCAGACCTGTATGGAGACAGAGACAACAAAATGAGAACAGGGATATGAAGTTACAATCCATGAATATAGAAGACATCGGTAACATCCCACAACCACCCCCTATACCTGCACCTGTTACCCCTGCCATTTCCAGAGCGGTATCAACAATTACTATGGCTAATTATAAGCGTGCTGCTTCTACTTCCCGTCACTGTATTTTTAAGTTGAGAGATTGCTGATTGATCACTCATTTTATGTGCCACTGTGCGCTCGTATTTGTGAATACCATTTAAATGAACCCCACAATGATTGGAATAATTTATACACGAGTAGTAACTGTTAGGATTTTACTGCATCTCAGATAGACAACCTTTGTTCCTTCCTTAAAAGTAGTGTTACTCAAAATTATAATATTTTAAATATCATTGAACATAATTCAATATTATGCAAATATTGGTTAGGATTTACCAACTATTAATTTGAACAGTTACTAGTTGAAATTTCATTTATCAGTGAAAGAGTTAAATCACCTAAAAGAAGTCTAGCTATGTTCTTAATGAAACTTCGTACAGGTGATAACAATGAATGCATAGCTTCTCTATTTAATGTAGCTTCATCGACTGTGTTAAATCACTTAAATATTATAAGTCAGTGCTTTGAAGAGCAATTCATCCAACTGCATTTAGGGACAAATACCTTATGCATTCAACAAGTTGCTCAATATAAGTCGACAAAACCAAATGGCTTGTTTGGTAATCCAGATGCCAGCCATAGTAATATATGATGGTACATACATTTATGTGCAAAAAAGTAGTAATTGCTTGTACCAGAAGCAAACATATAGTTTACATAAGTATCGTAACTTAGTTAAGCCATTTTAATAGTGTGCTGTAATGGTTATGTCCTTGATGTTTTTGGACCATATCCTGCAACAGAATCAGATGCTTCTATAATTCTTAGACTGTTCAACGATAATAGTCCACTGCGAACCTATTTTAGAGAAAAAGATGTATTTATTCTTGATAGAAGTTTTAGGGATGCAATTCCATTCTTGCAGCAATGTGGTTATAAGGCTCACATGTCTGAATCTAAACAAGCTGGTGAAATCCAATTATCAACCATTGCTGCCAACAAGTCCGGATGTGTAACTTTGATGCAGGTGGCAGGTGGGTGATTGAAATCGTAAATGAGAGATTTAAAGGGGACTTTAAATTATTTCGTCAGGAATATTTTAATACTGCATCTACTCATCTCATGCTATACTTTAAAATTGCAGCTGCATTAATAAATCGATTTCAAACGTTAATTTGTAATAATTTTCGTGCTGTAGAGATATTGGCAATTGCTCAAGCCAAACTAAACACTCCAAATAATTTAGCCTCCCTATGTAGAAATGCACAATTTAAATAGAGTGAGTACGACTTGCCAGCATTAATGGTAATCTTCCAGAGCTGGATAATTTTCCTGACATTCCAGGATCTAATTCTGTTTAGTCTAGGAATTTATCAAATTAAACAAGCTCGTAGTTATTACGCGGAGCATGTCAGGGCCTCTGGAGAATATAAAATCGAGGTATACCTGCAATCTGTCCATGATTTTGGTCCAAATAGTTATCTATTGCGAGGTAGAATACAATCAAGGCACACTAGTAAAAAACTTATTACACTTATATACTAGTTGACACCAACCCATCAATTGCTAACACTAGGGCTGCTCTTACTGGGTACTGTTGCAACTGTTTGGTAGGCAGACGCACTGTTGGCTGCTGTGCACATGTCATGTCAGTTGTGTGGTTTCTATCTTGGGCACGGCATCGAGATGAGGTTGAACCAACTGCATCTTTTTTAGATGATATATTACTTTCAAGTAGACGTGCGCGCCGCGCTACTGTTACCCGGCGGCGGCGCGCCGGCCTATCGGGGTCGGCGTGGCGGCGCCGCGCCGGCTTAGGTATTTTTTTATAAAAATCTAGGAGCTGTCCAGTTCCAGCAGTAGGTAATGTAGGTAGGTAGGTTTGAGTACGAGTATTTTGAGTAACTAAATTAAAGAAAAATAATTGCGTATGACTGAATGAAAACTTTTATTAGGCATTTATTACTGTGTGTGTTCTTTATCTTTACACAAATCGTAATTGTTATGAATAAAAATAATTTTATTCACGCGTCCTAGGCTAAGTCGCGATCTTTTCGCAATTACGGTAAGGCCAGCAATAGAAAACACACAAGTAGCTGGAATTGCGAGAATAGCCCTTGCAAGTCCAGTTAGAAGAGGAAAAGCTTCTTTTTTCCCCCTCCAGTATTGTACAATGTCTTCATTTACTACATCGCTAGCAGTAGCTGCTGTCAAGTAGCGCCAGCACTCCCGATCAGCTTCGCAACCACGGTCGCGGATACTCTTGAAACGTCAATATCTTTTTTTATGTACTTAGCATGCAATGCAGCACGTGTACTATTCTTTTGTTACAAGTACGTATCTATTTGAGTCAGGCTTATAAACCGAGGATCCAACAGCGCTGCAACTACAACTTTCTTAGTGATTGGGAATCTTTTATCTAACTTTGCCAGCATTTTGTTATTGAGCTGAACCACTACAAGCATTTCTTCATCTGTCACTGAATGAAGGATATCCCTGATTTCCAAATTAAACACCAGTGCTAAATTCAATGAAGCTGCCTTCTGTGTTGATAACATTTCTACGACTTCACGGAATTTGCGTAGAAATCTGACAAGATCTTCTAATAGGTTCCACTCCCTTTGACAAATTTTTAGATCACTCTTTCCTATCTCTGACAACATGTTATTAACTGGTTCTCTGTTACAAAAATGTGCCAGACTTTCCAGCATAGCTAGCACACTATGCCAACGAGTTGGCAAAGAAGTTTTGATAGTCGGCACATGATTTATGTTACCGAATTCATCGCTGATGGTTTGCGATTCGGAAACCAAATATGGTTCGGGCTCTTCATTAACAATTGGCTGATTTTCATCCATTTCTAAATGGTTTGATACTTCTTCCATAGATTGTAAAACTTTTAGTTGTTCTTCTTTTGCAGAACGTTCTAACTCTGGTAAACGATAGCGAAATCGTGACTATCTTTTTGCATTTTTTGACCAATGATGATAATTCGGGTCGATTCCATCTACAGTCACCAGGTTATGTAAACCATGGCCTAAGCACAAATGGGAGTCTAGATCCGAAAGTCGAATCGCTCGTTGGACATTTGATCCAGCATCAGTCACAGGGTGGAGCTCTATTCCTTGAAGTCCAAAGCACTCTTTTGCGTCGTTCAACATCCCATTTATTTTTTCTCCGGATTTTTTGCCCTCGATGAGTTTAGTGCCCAAAGTAAAAAACTTGCGTTACCTACATTAGGTTAGGTAGGTATGTACACTTTAAACCAAGCTCATCATCACACCACACCCTCCAGTCAAGCTTGGCTCAGTACTGTAGATACTGAACAACTTTTGACTAACAAAAAACATTTAAAAGCATCATATCGCGCAGCATCATGCACAGGCCAGGCACACACCACACACACATCACATTCATTAGTTAGGTTAGGATTTAGGATGACTGCAAATGACAAACAGTTAATGAAGCTAGCAGGTTATTAGTATTAGTATGTTTATTGTAGCTAATTATTTGAACACACTAACATTATGTTCATTGAATTTTACCTATTGTTTCCTGGATGAAAATTCCGTTTGTTCTCATCTCATGATGACGATGATATCCTACATAGATAAATTAGGTAATAGTACATTATTGTCGAAAATAAACTGAACAAAATGGTAGGTACTTTAAATATCGGTACTGTACTTACACGCCAAATGTAATTTCATCATTTTCTTCTTGAACAGAAGATAAGCACGCGTTACAGAATACTTGATCAGTAGCCACTTTTTTCTTTCAATTATTCTCCTCGAAAATCAAATCTCCGAAATGCAGCCAGCAAAAACTTGATTTTGATTTCGCATCGTATAAAACTGATATCGAAAAGTGTTTCACTTTTGTTTTATTAAATGTAGCCAAAGCTGAAGCCATCGTAAATGTGCACTATAATCTCCGTGCCTCCGTCAAAGCAATTCAAGGATAAAATGCACAGACTAGATAGAGAAACTGACGTTTCAGACCGCCATGTCATTGTCTTTGAACCGTATGCAAGAATTGAATATGACTTTTTTATACTTGTAAATGCTAGTAGCATTAGGTAATGGAACGAAAACCATACAGCCAAATATTATTACAGCAGCGTAGCGAAGTATTTCCAATTAATTTAATATTTTAAAATGTATTGCAGGTATAATAAATAAAACAGCGTTTGTCTACATAATTATTTATTTAAGTTTTTATTTTTCAATTTTTTCTTGTACTTATTTAGAGCTTTTTTTTGCATTGGCAGTAAATTAAATTTTTCGGCCCTCATTACATCGGTCCCTTTTAATAATTTATTGATTACAGTGCACCAATTAAAAATGCAGAGTTTAATTGATATTTTCAAAAAATTAATATTCAAGAACTATATCTTTGTGTAACTGGCAATCGAGAAACGAAAATGAATATTTGGAACATATTTCCTTTTTTATTCTCTCACTAATGTTATTTTGATATCCATGTTGTTCCAAATATTCATTTGTTGTTTTTATTACATTTCCAAAACTTCTTACAACATTTTCGGATGGATATATTAATTTTCTAGTTTTTTTGTTTTATATTCTTTTTGTTTAACAAAATCATGAATATTGCTATCTTGCGACAGCAAACTATGTTTGCATTCTTCGCAATTTATTTTAGCTAAAATTTTTCCGGTTACCCACCCAGCCGTATATGTCCTTGAGTGTATATTAATCCTTTCTCGTCTTGCCTGTTCTTGAATATTTTCTACAGCAAATTCTACAGTTTTATTCACAGGTGTGGCTTCTGATTTTGAATCAGATGATGGTGCAATGTTTACATTCTCAAAAAGGGACTGTATATCTAAAACGCCTTGGCTGACATCTTCCTCGCAATTGTAACTCTCCGAATGAAAGTTTATAAATCTTGTTACCAATAATGATTGAATGTATTTATGAATGTATAAGCAGTTGGGTCATTACTCCGGTAATTGTATGCTCGTACTTGGCCAAAAAAGTTCTCTATTATGTCAGAATTGAAGTATCTAGACCTCATAATTTTGATGTTTTTGAGGCCAATAACTCCCACACCCCTTTTAAACTTTTTAGAGTGATGATTCAAGTTTTTAAGGAAGGTACACTTTTTAGTGTGCCATCTTTGCATATAAATTTTATACCTTCCAATATTTTAATGGCTTTGTTCCAAAACTCGTGATAGGCTGATTTAAGTGTTACTACCTTGCGCAGATTTTTTCCTTTCGATATTTTCTCATTTGTGCTCGCTCCATTGACACTATCAAACAAGTCGTCAAAAAACGATACCGCTGCTGCTGTGTTTTTCAACGTTTTACTTATAGGACTTCCATCTGGATATAGAGCTAAAATTAGAAAAAAATACCGATTTAACACACATTATAAATTATACAACATAAACTGAAATATAGGTAAGTAAGCACTTACGAAAAGCAGAAGTATATGATAGTGCTGCCGATACTGACTTGCTCAAAACACGCACACAATTCTTCACCTAAAATACAAAATTAAGCATGTTGTTACAATAATGAAATAACTCTTAAATGACATGATACGTTAAAAATAAGATAGGTAGATTTCTATTTACAGTCTAAAATAAATATATAATTTCAGGACATTTACCTTCATTTTTTTAATTTTGTCTGGAATTACATGTTGATCCGTTAATTTATGTAATATTCTTGATTCGCCGTGCTTGCAATCAGCATTGTAAACATCTACAATATCATTCCATGTCACTCTCTTTCCCTCGAACATCATATCTTTTGTCAATAAATTGTTTCGAATCCCTTTAAGTAAATGAGGTGGATCGAAAATCACACTTAAGGAATTTCCATTTAAATGAATGGTGTCATCTGAAGAAAAAAAAGAACAGTTAAGATCGTGCAAGTCGAACTCACGCACAAAATCAATTTCCCGCACTTAGAAGTATTTAATACAACTTCATCCTATTACTTAATAGATTGCCAGGTCTTTAACTTACCAACTGTCTCTCCAGCACGAAGTTGTTCTCTTTTAGTATCATCTAATAAACTATTTACAGCAGATTGGAAACTTGATCCTTGATCAGATACAAGGGCAAATGGTTTAAGCCCTATGTCTGTCAGTGCAGATATGATATTTTTAATTATCTCTTTTAATTGCAGGCTTGATGTTGCACCTTCACAAAACTAAAAGGCGACTGGTTGCTGCCATTTAAAAACAGCACCTCGTAGCATGAATACGAGGGCATGATCTGCAAATTCATTGATTTTACCATTTAAATCGACAAAACCTACAATGTTGTCTTTGTGAGCAGCATAAGTTAGTGCAGTTTCAATGGCCATGTCATCAAATATGACACTACATATTTTTTTATCACTACAAATATGAACTCGTGTTACGCAATTCAAATTACTGAACAAAGCTGTGTCAATTTGTCACAAATTATATATATATATATATATATATATATATATATATATATATATATATATATATATTATTTTTGTTATCCTTACATAAACAGTTTAAAACATCTTACTTCCTCACTATTTATCATTGTGTATTTATGTTGTGTACATAGATAAGCATGTTAATTCACAGTTATTTTATTATGATATATATATATATATATATATATATATATATATATATATATATATATATATATATATATATATATATATATATATATATATAAGTACTTACTAATCAACCAAAACATATTAAAACAAAGTATTGACACCACTCCTGTCTGTCTATCTCAATCAATCATCAAAGTTCAAAAACTTTATTAAACTAAGTTTGTATAAAAAGGGTTATATAATATTAAGAAATTTATGGATGATAATAAAAAGAGTTACATTTTATTTTGTTTTTTGTATGTAGTACAACTAGTTAATTAATATTTCTTACCATGTGTTGGTAATATTATTAATATAAATGGACATATTATTACCCCTTAGTCATCTTTAATCATATTACTTTAATGGTATTTGGAACGTACACTTACAATCAATCAATACATGTCAAAAATAGAATCAATATGACATTTATGCACAGACAGGCACTATATTTTGCCGGAACTAGTGAAAAGATTTTACATTGATCTTAAAGTATCTATAAATGCTGAATATACCTACAACTTTGTTTTATATGTACTATTATTCAACTGTGCACTATTTTAACTTATAATACCGGTGAATACTACTAGAAAATCACTTTCAGTTTGTTTTTAGGTTATTGTTAGATTCATATTTTAATTGTTAATTTCTCAGGACTCCGTTTAGATGCAGTAAAACTAATAATACTATTGTAATCAATAGATTATAAGGAATAAATCGACATGCATTTCATTACTAATCCTTAACATTTGTGGTGGGCCCATTCCCCATACAAAAATAAATTGTCTCCTTTCATCAAAATTTATTCAGTAGTTTTTGCATGAAAGAGTAACAAAGATAGGCACTTACAAACTTTAGCATTTATAATATTAGTTGGAAGTAGAATAATTCAAAAGTTTTTACCTTTTTGCTCATATGTTTAAAAATTTCTGGATTTATTCCAGTGTCAATATTTAATTGGCTTATCATTTTCTTCAATGTAGTCTTAGAAGGCAAAATAAATATTTTTTGCAGAAACTTGTATGATTTAGGACCTTGCTTATAAATGGAAAGAGCTATGAGCTTCTCCTCTCTTGTAAACCTACGAGCCTTTTTATTTTTTGTACAGAGCTTAACTTGCATCCACAAAACTTTTTTAGTCAAGGGATTCATGTTTTTAGTCAGCTCTTCTAAAGATTTTTCTTTACTGAAGGCCAACGCTTTTTTGGTTCTACATCTATAATCAATTTGACGTTTCGC